AAAACTTTGTGTTCGTTAGAAGGTAGGAGAGTAAATAACTACTAAGAAACTGTAAGATTGACACAGTACAGCTACAGTTTGAATAATGCAGTCATAAAAAACTTTGGCTGAGCAAATACACGCCGAAGATCATCAAACATTATTATGTTAGGTTATTCTAACAGTCAGCATGCGTTATAATATGATACCAAAATGTTCAAATGGCTACCACCTTACCCTGAAAATAACTTTTGACCTTATATCTGTCTGGGGGTCTAAAAAGCTGATTTGGTGAGACCCAACCAAACACTAATACTGAAGACAAAGGCCTTGAAAAATGGGTCGCACGGCTTAATTTTGATATGAGTTTAGTAAGCTGTAGGTTTTTGGAAATGCTGTCCAGATAGCAGTAAAAATGCTGTTTACTTTCAGTGGTGGGTATTTACACGAGCACAACAGTTTAAGTGTGATTGACCTGAAATGAATTTCACAATCTGTGGTCATGGTAATGAGGCAAAATAATGCCATGTTTCCCAGCAACAACATGGCTCCATTATTTTTTAATATTCAATATATAAACATAATATTTAATTTATTTTGGGGGAACTGCAAAGCTCTGTGGAACAGACAAATTAAAAAATATCAGACTTTGACCGCCGACTTCAGCTCTCGTCCTGTGGTTTGTAAGGACGTCTTTCTCTTAATAAACTGCACGTGCCCAGTCTGACTTGTTTTCTGAGTTTCCCCTGAATCTGTGACATATTTTGTTTTTAATTTGGATCTGATTGCTCTAATTCTTTTCAATATTATGGACCTGATCACATTCCTGAGTATGGTTTTGAACAAGAAAACTGATAATTAGCCAGTCGGATTCAGGAGAACTTTAATCATCCCCAGGGGGAAACTGCAGTTGCTTAAGATTGTGAAGTTGTAAAATTTAGTAATAAGTTTTAATAATTGAAAATGAATGTAAAAAAAAATTAGAATTTAATTCAGCAGCAAGAGGATGAAATGTGTGGATGGCCAAAGTGTTTAGTCATTATAACTCTGGGGGTGAACACACTTCTCTGGCTGGCCAGAACAGCGTGTGAAGTGTGGGAAAGGTTGTCCATGATGGAGAGGACTTCTGACATCTTTCTCTTTGCTGACTGGAGATTGTCCAGCTCCACCCCAGCGACTGACCCAGCCTTCCTGAAATGTTTTGGTTTCGTCCGTCATCAGGCTTTTGTCCAAGCAGACTACAGTGTAGGAAACGGACACCACAAACTCACAGGAGAGCTGCAGCATGGTGCCACTTAAAATGAAAGTATGGAGCCTTCACAGAAAAACAATCTTAGCCTTAGTGTACTGAAAAAACGAGTAATACTGCTTGTATTTGTTATTTTATTTCCATTTGTCTGTTTTTGTTGTTTTAACTGGTTACTTTTCTCATTTTATTTCACTGTGCTCTGTAAATCTCTCTGTAAATGTGCATATATACAAAAACTATTACTCTTACTCATGATTATATTAATCCTGGATCTCCTCGCCTCCTTTATTTGCTGATGTTGAGTTGCACAGAACTGTGCACCATCCTTTGATATTTCCAAAAAGCATACCATATTTGTATATTAGCTGTGCACATGCATTTATTTTTATTGAAAAGCACTACATAAGGATTTTCATTATTACTGATCACCTTCTTTTAGCAAAGAAAACAACGGTAGAGTGAGCTGCAGTATATATCTGTGGGAATGCAATGGAAACCTGTGCAGCCCAGATAACCTGCCACTGAATCACACCGGAGCTCCTATTAACTCAGTGACATTTAATGATCCCATTCGGAACCAAAACTTCCTCCAGGCAGCCCATCTTTTTCCAACTCTTGGTATTTTTTTTTTTAAAGTGTAGTGATGATCTGGTTTTTATAATTTAGCCCACATCTTCCTTCCCCTCAGTAAAATGGTGGATTATTGCCAGATTAAGGGAGTGCCTTTTTCTTTATCCCTGGGTAAGCCTGCACAGCACGCAGCTCAGAGGTAATGAAGCACTCTGTGATCCGTGCCCGGATGAATCTAAAAATTCCCAGAGCACCACTGTATTTTAAAGGAAATGAGATTTCCCTGAAAGCCTCTGAACCTATGCTTCCCATTTTGAAATGGCTATAAACCGCGGGCCTGCTTACAACCTGGTGCAAGAACCTCGACTTGTTGCTGTTTTTAAAATCATTTCAATAAGCACGAAGAGAAAGTTTGACATTGTAACAAATACTGCCGAGGAAGTGTTTGCTTTCTTTGCCTGAGAAAATGATAGCGATTGCTAATTCCAATTGAGCCCGCTTATTTTTCAGTCTGACATTTAAATCTACGATTGCCGTGACCTTTACTGACCACCTGGCCAGTCGCTACTAAAAGATTTCTGACAGGCGGTTTATTAAAGCATCCTGGTATTTTTACAGTCCAGCGGCTGATCCGTGAGGGTGACTGTCACAGGTACTGAGTCATTTATGTGAGTAGGAAACAAAACTCATGAGAGAAAAACAGAAATTAGAAAAAAAACAAAAACTGGTTGAGCAATACAAAGCAAAAGTCATCAGCTGTCTGGGAGTTTGAACAGGAATAAAGTTTCTATGTTACCCAAGACTGTCATGCAGAACTGAAATGCTTGTCTGTTGCTGGTGGCTCTGAATGACAGTCCAAAGACATTTTAGTCAAATCTATCATCTATTTAAAAAAAAACTAAAGAACACTCTTGATCAGTTTTTATGCCTTGGCTATGAGGCATCTTTTGTCATTTTTGTAAATATTAATGTTTATCTTTTTCTTTCCTCTGGAAACCATAAGGCTGCTGTCAGACACTGACTGATAGAGCATGCCGAGTGATCTGTTGCAGACACTGAGCGACCCCCGGTCTCCCTGAGAAAGTCTACTCTGACCTGACTCGTCCATTGCTTCAATTTTATCAGCTTCAGTCAGTTGAGTGTTGATGTGAGCCTGAGGTGCGAAGGTGTTCGAACTCATCACGCTGGATGATTTGGCCCTCCCAGCTTTTTTGGCCTTACAGCCGTTGTGTTGTAAATGGTTCTTCTTTAAACTGCACCACTTTGCAAAGGTTCAGTTTTGTAGGATTTTAAACTGCCAGACTTTTACTGGTAAAAATATTCCATTCTACCTCAAACAATATGCATTCCTTAACCACTGAACAGATATATATAAATGTCAACTCATTTAACCCCCAAGGCATTATATTTATGCACTTTGTTAACAGAATAGCTGATAATAAATGTTTGCCATTCAAAACAACAATTACAGTTATTTTGGAATCACACAGATTACATATGTCTGTATAGATTTATGTGCCATGATGGTGAAATATTTCATTTGTTGCTTGTAATCTTTAACCCTCTTAAAGCAGTAGATAAAAAGTTTGCTTAACAATAAAAGAGAAAACAAAGCAGGAGCTGGGGAACATAAATGTTTGCACAAATGGATAACTTGGATAAGGATTTATGTACACATCATGTCCATTCTCTCAACTTCCTTCTGAGTTACGGGCAATTTTTATTTGTGACTTTAGGAAAGTAAGAGCTCTCAAGAAGCACTTAAAGGCAACGTAACAGCAAAAATGAAAATATAGTGACATAAAACCGAGGGTAAAGGATCGCCACTAGACAGTGATCATCATTAGGGCAAAACCATCTATCAAATTTATATCCAGAAAAGAGCCAAATTATGCTTTTACAATAGAGAGTTTTATCAAGCCAAACAATTATGAGGTGAGCTGCCCATTGCATTGCTTGTTATAGGTCAATGGAAAAAAAAGAGGAGGATAAAAACAATCCAGGGCTGGTAATGCACTACAAAACCATTTGGCTGAAAGTCATTCACTGCACTGATCATTTGGATGGATTTTTATAAAACAAGAAATTAGTTGGCCCACAGCTGCATGCGTAGCTTTGTTTCTCCAGTAGTTTCCTTCCTTCCTGTTGTCAGTATTTTAAAACGAGGGACCTAAGACTCAAGCGAATGAAAATTACTTCTATGAAATCAGTGAAATCAGATGCAGATCTTGGATATATTTAATCACACTGAATTGTGAGCTCATTCAGAGTTTTGTTGGCAGTGACTGACACTTTCTTGTCTATTAACCCTTTTTTTAACATAACATTTGAACCATGTTGTGGTTAAAGGTATTAGATTCTGATTTAGGTATACCCATTTTTCAGTCGATCATTTACTTTGGATGGTTATAAACTTTATTCTAGCCATTACACAGTTAAATCGCGAGTATTATAATTTTGCACTGACCTAAAAATCCCCCTAGTTTCTTGAATATTCCACTGTAAAATCTGTTAATGACAGCAATAGTGGTGTAGCGGTTTGAATTTAGGATTTAAAAAAATAATAATTTAATGCGTAGTTCGTAAAATGATAGAAGTGGGAGGATAGGATAGGAAGCTGGAAGCACTAATATCACAGAATATCGATGTGAAACTACATCATTGCCAGGAACACAAATAATGAAATTATAATGTGTATTGCTTTCTGATTGTAGGACATCAAGTCATGGAACACGATGTTACTTTTTAAGAAGATAGAAAGAGAGCCTTTTTTTAATTGAATAATTTCTCCACTTGTTTTTTGGGTACGCTAATTATGTGCCAGACAGCACAGCTACACAGCTTCATCGCTCCTTTGCACTAAGTCATACCTGCCCCTCTGCTACACCAATTTTTGAACCGATATGAATGGAGTGAAAATATTAGAGGGTTTTTTTATGAGCCCCTCTTCTTGAGTTTCCCTCCTGTAACGCCGAACCCATAAGTCAGCTCCTGGCTCGAGTTAAAGAACAACCGCAGGCTGTGTGTGCGTTCAGGAAGCTGGAGAGAGGGCAGTGTCGCTCACCTTTCACTGCCATACTGTAACACAGGCGTTTGACATGAGACAGCCCCCTAGGTGTCTCACTTTCTCAGTGTTTGTATGGACTGGAGCGCAGCGCCGGCTGCCCGCCTGCCTGCTTCTCGTCTGGCTGACTGGCTGCGTTGACGTCAGCGCCGTGTTGATTTGCTAAGGCGAGAGAAGAAAGGAGTTAGAGCATGTTCTGAGAGCGGGTACTGCGAACTGCCTTACTATGCTGTAGCCCCAATCCCCCTGCACTATCCGGAATCAAAACGTGCAACTTAGGTGAGTACCAATCCGGGCTAAATGCAGCTGCAGTTTCCCGGCGACAAGTGCCAGACCCGCTACTCTGCATGTATCTAGTACTGTTTTCTTCGCGTACTTTCATTCACCATATGGATGTTTTGATGTGTTTATAGTGCTGAGGATCGGCTTTTTTATGCGTGTCCCCATTCAACCTCACGCTGAAGTTGACTGCAAACGCGACTTTGGCATGCGAGTTGGACTTGCGCACCGGAGTTCTGGATGAAAACAAGTGTTTACCTGATTGCGCTGCAAGGTGTTGAAGTTTGCATTAACGCACTGTAGCTCAGTGTAGAGATGTTAAGGTTGACGTAACCCCCCCTTCTTCTTCTCGGGCTCGTTAGTATTCTGGAGATCGCAGTCAGAGGACGTGAGGTCTGGCTGTTTCACGGGGAGCCAGACAACATATGACGCCTCGCTGCGTGTGACTTTGAAATCGCGTTAGCTTGTTTTGGTGGAAATTTTGCCCATATTTTTTTTTTTTAAGGACGGCGACACTCATGCTTGTCCTTGTGTCTCCAGACGCACCAGCGTGGCTTATTTAGCCGTGATGACATCATGATGGGGGACTAGAGACACTGGTTTTTACACACGAAACAACCGTAAATCCAGTCACTGTACAGGCGCACTGCCATTGATTGACAGCCAGCTAAATGTTTGATTGGTTACCAATAATCGGCTCGCCGTAGCACGCGCAGCACACTGTGAGGTGGGGGAACTGGTAACAGATGCGATGGCAAATTGATTTGTTATCGAGTGTGTCTGATCTCTCTCTTCCCCTTTCACTCTTTTTTCCTCCTTATCCCTTAGGCAGCTTTCCCGAGACCAAACCCCCCTTCTTTCTCCTTCACTGTTACAAGGTAGCGCTACAGTGTTCATCATGCCTCAAAGTCCACCTGTGCGTTGATCAAATGAGAGCTGGCTCAAATCGGAGACCCTTGCCTGCCGTCTGTGTCGCGTGTACTTTTTTAGCAGGCACCGGTATCTGATTGCACCCCCTCCCCGTACCATTTTGATCTCTCCGCGTTTGTGTCTGTCAGTGTGGCTCATGGTCTGGAATATTGAACGCTGTTTATTCTTGTTGTGGCTGGCTCGTCAAGGCGCGCTATGGCAGACAACTCGTGATCAGATTGATTATGCTGCCTCTCTGTGAAGTCGGCGTGATGTGGTTATTGTCAGCGGTCCATATCGTCCTCCTGGGAGGAAATCTCTCCAGGCTTAATGTACTTAATGTAGTACGTGATGTTTTGCGTAACGCATAATGTTGTGTATAATTTGTCTGGTGAGTCTGGCTAAAATTAACGCCGTCTAGACCCACGCAGCCTTTTCCCTTTATTAATAGAAAACAGACAAAGTCCCCAGACAGCAACTTTACATCCCAGTGAAGCCACAGTTTAGTTGATAACCCACAGAGCGCAACAAGCATTGATCATTTACGGGGCCATAAATCGGCGCTATTGGCATACCTGCAATAAAGATAATGTCGGGTTTTAGGCATGATCTCTGTTTACTGAGAGGCTAATTTCAGTTAGAGGAGAACCTGTGGTTTTATCATTACCTACATTCTACATCGATTTTTGTCAAGGTACGGAAAAGACAAACCGCCCAGTCCCCCAAAAGCCGGGAGAATTATTTTCCGTTACTCTCAGCAGTAACAATAGGTGCAGCATCATTTACCCCCTGAATATTCAGATTCAGTGTGTTTAGATGATCTTATTTATATATTATAGAAGGTTTGGCAAGAAAAAGAAACCTTATCATTTTTTCAAGGTTTATTTTTCCTTTCTTCTTTTCTTTTCTTCTTTCTTTCTTTTCTTTTCTTTTTTTACAGGTGTGAAAGGAGGGAAAGAGCTGCCCAAGTTGTCTTTTTATTCCCTGTTTCATAATCTTTAAAAATTAATTTGAAGATTAGTATTAATAAAAACAATAATAATATTACAAATTTAGACAGCATGTCACTTCTCACCAGACTTCATTTGACACACTTTGTCATTTGTCATAAGCCTGACTTATTCACTCTTCCGAAAACCTAAAAATTGGCCCTGAGTAAGCTTTTGTAGGTCAAAGGCGACACTAATCTGGTGACCATTCCTGCTTCACTTGGAGTAGGTGCAGTGGCAAATAACTGTTTAGTTAATTGGGACAATGAAGAAGCAGCATAGTTCAGTGTTAAACTGAATGTAGTGGTGAATCTGTGTATTCAATCTAAGCCAGCTTTAATTATTTTTTTGGTGCAGGTCAAAGTATAGGGTTGTGGGAGCGTGTTGCGTTGTTAACTTCAGTAATCAGGTTAACAGGAGTAGGAGGAGGACAAATTTGCGATTTTCAACATTAGCGACTGAGAGCTGTGTTTGGTACAGCAGTGTTGTGTGCTTTTGCCTCATCCTGCTTTCCTTTCCACCCATTTCTGGCCGCTGCTCTCTGCTCCCGTCTGTGATGAGAATACTGAGTAAGATGCTATTTAATTTCAGAAAGGCTGCTGATGGTCTTTGTGAACCGAGCGGCAGTGAAAACCCACAATTCACACTTGTTTAACTGGTGTACATACCGATTAGATAACTAAATGAAGACATCTTTTTAACGTAACATATGTTGGACTGATTGATATGCAGGTTGAGCATGTTGGCTCACAAATTGTTTCCCTTCAGAAATCTACAGTCAATACTCTCTGCTGAATTTAAGAACAATGCCACTGAGCGGAGTGTTTACCACACTGGCAGGATATTTGCAATTGCCTCACACTTGCCATTTAGAGAGAGAAAGAGGTGGTATGTTTTAAATAAGCGTAACAAATTCATCACATTTATTTGCAGCGTGATTGAAATAATGAAAGGCACTTGTATTTTATGATAAACTGGAATTTAAAAAAAATTTCAAAAGAGAAAGCCCTTTCATTCATTCAGATTCTGAAGGGAAGAAAAAAAAAAACGCAGACTGAGCATGTTGGATTTAAATGTGTAAAGACTAATATCTTTTTAACTCATGATACTTTGTACTCATGATACTCTACCAGAGCTGATTTTTTTTCTCCCCTCTTGTCTTCCATACAGGTTTCATCTTGTTTACAAAGATAGCTAAAAACATTGTTGATCGGGGAAGGAGAGCCTCATGAGTCGGCCTCGTGGTTTGCATCGACATCATGGATTTAACTAAAATGGGTATGATCCAGCTTCAGAACCCCAACCACCCCAATTCCCTGCTGCAGAAGGCCAACCAGATGCGTCTGGCTGGAACTCTGTGTGACGTGGTCATCATGGTAGACAGCCAGGAGTTTCACGCTCACAGGACTGTGCTAGCCTGCACCAGCAAAATGTTTGAAATCCTCTTTCACCGCAGCAGCCAGCATTATACCCTGGACTTTCTATCACCAAAGACTTTTCAGCAGATTTTGGAGTATGCTTACACTGCCACGCTCCAGGCCAAGGTGGAGGACTTGGATGACCTTCTGTATGCAGCCGAGATACTTGAGATTGAGTACTTAGAAGAGCAATGCCTGAAGATCCTGGAAACCATCCAGTCCTCAGATGAAAATGATGCTGAGGTCAACGCTAACGATGGAAGCACAGAGGAAGACGATGAGCGCAAAGGTCACAATGGAGCCAAAAACTCAAAAAAGCATTCCATGGGGAGCCCCTATCTGTCAGGTACACAGCAAGTCTCTAACATGCCCGGGGTCGTCGACCAGAGTCCCTCCGTCTCCACTTCCTTTGGTGTCTCCACCCTGAGTCCCACCAAAGCTGCTGTGGACAGTCTGATGAGCATCGGCCAGTCTCTGCTCCAGCAGGGCTTTGGTGGTGAACAACTAGTTCACGGCAACTCCAACCAACTGATGACTGAGATCAAGACTGAGATGATGCAAGTGGATATGGGTGGCAATGGCCACGAAAGCCCACAGAACATGGAGTCCAGTGCCTCCAGCAATGGAGAACGAAGTGGGGAGGACAGGAACAGAGATGGTCCCGGAACGCCAACCAGGAGCAGCGTGATCACCAGTGCCCGTGAGCTGCATTACGTCCGTGACGAAGGCATGGGCGACTCTCAAGCTGAAGTCAGTCAGATGGGGATGGAAGCAATGGCTGGAATGACTGAGAAACATCTGGCCTCTCTCTACTCCTTACCTGTCAATCATAAATCAGATGCCATGATGTCCATGCCAGTATCCATGGCGTCCGCTCTGCCTATGTCCCCAGCCCTGGCTATGTCTATGGACTTCAGTGCCTATGGGGGACTCCTGCCTCAGAGTTTCATCCAGAGAGAATTCTTCAGCAAGCTTGGGGAGCTGGCAGTGGGCATGAAACCAGACGGCAGGAACCAGCATGAACGTTGCAATGTTTGCGGTGCAGAGCTACCAGATAATGAAGCTGTGGAGCAGCACAGGTAAGACAACTTTTCTTCTGAAGATAGTTGCTTAAAAAAATTTTTTTTTAATTGTTTTGTTCTTGAAATTTGTGTCCCTTTTTTAGCATTTCAACTACCCTTAATTTGACTGAAATTTTGAATGTGTATTTATGAATTCTTGATGTGCATCAGAATGTGAAATTAAGTCACTTGGCTTCATTTTACTAATTCATGATCCACATAGTAACTTAATTCCTATTGTTAATAATTTAAAGTGGACAGCTTTTTGCTTTGAAATGATGAGAAATAGCAAATAGTAACATCCTTTTATAATCACAGAAACCTTAGTTTTGTGTGGCTGACAGCTCAAACTTGGAGATTTGCTCCTTCAGTAACTACCAGGCCTGTCCAGGTGACCGCCGAAGGAGTGCTGTCTTAACATTGTCCAAGACCATTAGTCACACCTTACAAGATGTGGGCGGCAGCTATCACACACACTTACCAAAGTGGAACCCCCTCATCCTGGAACCAATTCCCCTCCCCTTTCCCATAACTGCACAAGGGGGGCCTTTATTAGCTTGATAATTGGAGTAGACGGTCAGTCCAGGAAATGAGTGCTGAACCTGGGCTTTGAGACAAGGAGGTAGCTCTTGGACAGGAGAGTGACAGTAAACCAGAAAAAAAGAGTTTTTGCCCCGAAACCTCACTTGAATTACTGAAAGTTTTTCAAATCTCTCTATCCCTTTTTTCTCACATAATGCCCTGCTCAATTTGATATATTTCACTGGATTTCTGTCATATTTGGATTGACCCTGGTTGAGCAAGCAAACTGAATATTAATCTTGCATGACCTCTCTTTCGTGCTGTCGTAATGTTTAAGAAATTTTACTTTGAAGGCCACCTTCTCACCCTGCAGTGTTTGCTTGAATCAATGCAAAGGAATGCACAGTGGTTAAAGTTCACCGGAGGATTTGAACCTTATCACCCGTCCCATCATTCTTGAGCTGGTATCTTGGCATACATGGCTAAGCACTGAAGTGATTCAGTCCAGACTTTCAAGTTAAAGAAATATTACCGAATAGGTTTGACTCGATGAAAGACATACAGGAAGTCACAGTGTATATATTTGTGTGACCTTCATGATCAGAGCTAATTTTTCATTAAGTTAAAGAGGATTTTTGCATTGACTCATATTAAACATCTAAAAACCATAAGGAGAGAAAAAGAAGTGGCTTTTGCGCATATGATTAGTTCATCCTAAGCAGGCTTTTACAGCCACTTTTTAAAAAAAAAAAGAAGCACAATAGCCTCTTCTTTAGATGCATTAATGTAGCCGAACTGCGTTAACGGACAGGCTACGCTCGTCTCTGTCTTGAGAAAAAGTGTGGCGTGTGAAATGGTTGCCTGTGTTTCAAGAGGAATTTCATCAATTCACTCAAGCTGGGAAATCTTGTATCAAAGGAGATTTCCAAACCGTTTCATGCATTGATCTCGCCGCCTCACCCCATAGCATACTAATGGGTTAATTTACACTGGTTGATACACCGACACGACACTGTTTAATATTGTATGTGCTGTCCTGACAGCCTCCTGAAGTGTAGAAATCAAACATTGCATCATCCGCTGTCTGCTCTGCCATTTTGACATGAAAGGTCCGCTTCGCCTGAGATGCTTGATAATTCAGACGCTTCTCGTGTCCTCACAAACTCCACTGTGGGTCATTTGGTATCATATCCAGTCCCTGCTTCTTCTTTTTTTTCTTTATTTATTGCTTATTTTTTATGGCTATCCTGTCACACTTCTTAATCGTCCTGATGGGTATGCAAGATGTTTTATTTCAGACAAGTGGAGTCGTGTTCCCTCTGACTAATTACGTATCATTCCCCCGGAGCAACTGTGTCAGGGTCAGCACTGCCTCTGCAACAAACGCATAAAAAAGTTGGCAAAGTTCACTTAGGTGCGGGCAGGTCAAGTCAAACATGAGTCTAATTGTTTCCAGATGTGGCACAGGTCAGTGGTGTGAGGTGTCAATGTGGGCTTCTATGTTTAAATGAATGCACTGAAAAGTGCCCACTTCCTGTATAAATCTAGTTTCTGCAACCTTTCATAAAAACACTGAATTCATTATGTATTGGCAAAACAAGTGTAAGGAGTTGCTTATTGACTGTGGAAACGTTTGCTTCTTTTTAAGCAGCAGAGATGCTACCTTGATATTAGGTTAATGAAAGCCTTATAATGAACATCAGTTTAGAATAAATTATTATAATTGAAGGGAAAAAGCTTATATTAAATGTTATGTCAGAAGTAGATTTTTGGCTGCTTTTTCTGATATGATAGCTGATCAATTAACTTAACTTTAGACTAATTCCTTTAATGATTGACTATCTTAAGATAACTATAGATATTTGAGGATTTTGCCTTCTTTGAACTACTTTATAAGTAGTTGTGTTATCTGTATTTTACCTTGGGTATTGTAAAAGCACTGATGTTGAAAGTTTAACTTATTGTGCAAACAAAAATGAGCTTAATGAAAGGTTTACTCTGACTTATAAGTGCCTGAGTTTCCTTGTATTTAATCTAAGTCTATCTGACCATGGCAACTTTTCCCCTCCACCTTCCCTCCATCAGGCCACCAGCTCACGTCCCCACTGACAAGCCCTAGATTTATTTAGCCCACGGTGTGCATTGTTGGGGCTTTAGGCAGACAGGATTACAGCAATATTTTAGTAACCCTTGCACTGAGAAAATAATCAACACAGGAAGGGCCTGAGTGATTATTTAGAAAATAAATGCATGATGCAGGGGGCTAATTCTGCAGAGGCAGTGGGGGTGGCGGTGGGGGGGGGGCTCCTCTGCTTGGTATTCCAAACACAGCATCCAATTCACGGGAACTAGCCTTGGGTTTATCTCTTTCACTTAATCGTCCATTCTCATGCAAATGATTGACCCTCGCTGTAATGTACATCACATAAGTGAAAAAAAAGAGCCTGTTTGAAAGGAGCTTTTCCAGCATATAGCCGTTAAACATTACTGATAAGTATCAATGCTATAGCAGTGTCTTTTCATAGTACAGCCTGGGTTTATTTTTGGAGGGGCACAGGGGCGATGAATGAACGGGATAAGTCAATGAATTCCTTTTTGTCTGCTCTGTTTTCGCTCCTGTTATTTTTATTATTGATGGCAGTGTTTGGGGCAGAGGCTGGCAGCGGTGGAAATAATCACCCTCGCATTAACCTCCGCACGCGCACACACTTGTGTTCATTACTTTTCACATACACTCCCCTCAGCAGTAGCAGGCAGCGCTCACTCTTCCATTTCCTCCTCTTTTGTGGCAAAGGGGACGGAGGGCGCTCTAATACCCCAGGCCGCAGGTGTTTAAACAGCAGGCCCAAGGCCCTTATCTGTGCATATCAGAGTGGGACAGATAACCCTTGGCGCTCCTTCTTAGTAAACCAAGAGCAGATTGAGTTCAGATAGTGGTCCAATGCATTTTGTTGCAGGTGATAACAATGTATGCACATACACACACGTATGTAACCTGCACACTAAGGGGAAGCTGTTGGAAGGTATAGATGTTGTTTCCTTACACAATGACATTCGGTTGCTTTGGTCACTAGCAACAATTAACCACCACACCCATCCCCAGTGAGCTCCAATAAGCATAAAGGATGCCTGCAAGACAGTCGAAGGGACTCAATCGTACCAAATGTCAACTAATAAATACACCTGTTTCATGACAACAAAAACACACATTTTTTGTAAATACAGTATGTCTATATACTCAAATATATATATATATATATATATATATATAAGTCCCTTATGGTGTTGTTATGGTTAGATAAAGTTATTTGAATACATATAATAAAAACTGTAACAGCATTTAAAATTAAACTAACTTATCTTTTTAACTATTTGGATCTTTGTGATTGGTGGTCAAACTGACAATTCAGAAACACGGAATAACATCCTGTGTGATATAGTTGACAATCCAGTCATAGTCACCAGTGAAAAGTCACCAGTCTTTTCACTCGTGGTGATTGATAGTGCCTGTCATAAAATTGCAAAAGGACCTGTCAAAAATTTCAAACCAGCACAGCACTGCGTCCATTTTGCGACCACAGCAGTTGTAGCTTAATGTGGTAGCCAACTACCTTGGGCCATGTCGTTTTAACTCTCACGATTAGATATATTAATATTATCTCTTAAGTTCCATAGCTCTTATTTCTATTAGCAGCTAGACTGAAGACTCTACAACACTGACCAGTGTTGTTCTTTCGACATACAACAAAACCACAAGGTTCTGATGCCGTAAGAAAACTGTCTGTGCCGATCACAGTGCATAACCTCACAAATAGAGTGTGTGTGTGTGTGTGTGTGTGTGTGTGTGTGTGTGTGTGTGTGTGTGTGTGTGTGTGTGTGTGTGTGTGTGTAAAAAATCAGACTGTTGCTGTTGTTTGAGAGGTGACATCCGGTGTAGTTTGTGCAAAATCCCCAGACAGCAGTCCAGAGTGTTTGTTGACCTCAAAATAAGAGCCCTTCTGTATCCTGCTCATCTTAAGTGTAAAAAGTAGGGGAAAAAACTACATGTGCTAACAATAAAGGATAAATATCTGTGCTTTGAAGTAGGTAGTCAGATATTTGCTTCATTGTCACAGTCTTACTCACTGAATACAGTATGTCGCCTTTGATCTTAAATAAGAATGACTAAGAGAGCAGCAGACTTTTGATTCTAACCTGTAAAACTGTGCAAGCATTTTCCTGCTTCCTGAAAGTAGCTGGGCAACAAAGCATCCATTACATGGCAGTGGATTACCCTCTATTTGAAATCACTCAGTGAGTTAAGTCTCCCCTGCTTGCACTCAGAGGTACAGTACATGTTGGTGTAATAATCCAATAGCACAAAAAGCCTCACTCAACGAAAAACACCTCTCCAAGAAACACCTAAGCCACAGACAACAGCAGAGGGCTTATTCAAGTCTGGCTGCCACATCATTTCCCTTTTATCCTCGCACAGGTGCTTTCTTTTTTTGCCCCTA